GTCCAACTGGGAAGAGACCCCGGGGAAGACCCAGAACACGCTGGAGAGATTACATCTCCCAGCTGGCCTGGGAACGCCTCGGGATCCCCCAGAATGAGCTGGAACATGTTGCCGGTGAGAGGGAGGTCTGGGTCAGCCTGCTTGGCCTGCTGCCACCGCGACCCGACCCCGGATAAGCGGAGGAAAATGGATGGATGGATGGAAGTTAAAATATATAAAATGTTTTCCTAATTGCATTTAGAGCTCTTAAAGGTTCTTCTTTAAGGCCATTCACAGCCGTGTTGGAACTCCCTGATGCCGTTATGTTGTACCGAGGTAGCCATAACTCGTACTATTTTCAATGGTTAGTTATGATAAACTGGTATTTGTTCTCCTGACATCTGGGGTGTTTTTGAAAAAACAATGACGTTAGTGTTCTTCATATTTACTGTCAGAACGGTTCTACCATGTCCAGCTGTTGTTGTAGTCCTTGTTCATTCTCTCTCTCTCTCTCTCTCTCTCTCTCTCTCTCTCTCTCTCTCTTGTTGAACCAGAAGGAAGGGAACATTTTGAATGCTTTTTGGAGTATAAGTGATTGACACAATGTAAGGTTATATTGAACCATGCAACTTTTTGGACCAAAAGAACTTGGTGTGCAAAGGCCTGACCATCTAAAAAGCATAAGAGCACATCTGTGTTTTAGATTAAAAAAAACAGAAATTGCAGCATAGGAATTCAGACATCATCTGAACAGATGTATGAATAAATGCTTCCAGATATTTGCATCATGTTTCATCTCCATGGAACAGGAATATTTAAGGTATTTTCTTTGTACACGTCTGTCTCTTCTATGGAGACGGATATGGTGAAGTTGGTTGACAATGTAAGCGTTTTGCCTGACTGTGTGACAGACAAGGAGGGCCTAGTGGACAGGAAGTCAGAGATGAAGGATGATGAAGAGGACAAGGAGGCTCTCTGCACAGAGAATCAGGAGGCAGAGCAGAAGAAGAAACCTCGCAGAAAAGACACGCCCGTCCTCCATTCTCCTCCACATATACCAGGTCAGCACAGACACAACCAAACAGTTAGGCTGAAGGCTTGACTGAGATTTTATTAAATGATGGACTGGAAGTTCGATATATTAATGTTGATGTTGTAAGGCCCACAAAATCAACACACTATGTGCATTTAAGAATGCTACGCCTAATTTGTGATCATTCTAACAGGAGTCTGTGCTGTCTTTGAAGCTGTGAGTCTACAACATTACATATTGAAATATATTTTCTGTACTTTTCTCTGCATTCCAAACCCCACATGACCATTACAAAAACAGATTCATTTGGGTGTTTTCTGATGAGTCACCACAAAAGTGAAGCTGTAATTGGGTTTGGTGTACAAATAAGTACTTCACCTTGGGTATGGTGATAGAACAAACAACCGTAGGTCACAGTTGAGTAAGGAAGTGGCAACAGACAGTTTGGGTAACCATTTTACCCTTCATGTTTGTTTTCTTTTTCAAATCAGTTGAACTAACCTGATTTGCTCCTGGGTCTCGGCCTGTCACACTTTACCCAATTGCGATTCACTTTGTGGCCAGATCTAAGAAAATAAAACTCAGAATGTAGGAAATTGTAGTTTTATTCAACTTGTATGCTGTCCTCAGATATCGCCTGTCCAACCAAACAACATGCACAGCATGAACTGCTTCTTGGTTTAAAGCTGACCACCTGTTTCCCCTCTCTTTAGGAGTGAGATTGCTGAAAGCGGAGAAGCAGATGGTCCACTTAGAGGATGAGGAGAAAGATGTGAAGGATTAAAGCTTTTATTTCACTTTTATTTTGTCAATGAATGTTCACAGTCTCATTAAATGTTGTTTTGTCCAAACATTTCATTTTCTCCGGACACACACATGGTAAATGCATTTATCTAGTGCTTTTCCAGTCTTTCCGGCCACTCAGTGCTTTAGATCACAAGGCAGCATTCACACACATTCATACACACATTCTTACACACATTCATACACAGGTGGCAGAAGCTGCCATACAAGGTGCCTCCTGCTCTCTATGAAAAGTGTCTTGAAATAACTTCTGTAGTCTATAGTTGTGTTTGGAGTGTGTAAAAAGTGACTTCTATGATAGTGTTGCCCATGCATTGCTGTTTAATCCGTTATCTTTGGTGGGAAGAGTAAAAGCATGATTTACTTTTCCCTCCTCTTTTGTGTCTTTAATGAGAATAAAGTCATAATATTTCAAGAGAAAATCGACCCTATAAAACAAAATCACTTCTGATCAGGTGTGATTCTCACCATTGTGTGGCTTATTGTCCAGATGAATGTTAACTTCACTTCCTTGAATGAAGTGGCTATATCCACTTTGTCATAAACAATCAAACCAGCAGTTCGAAACCCCTGGAGCTCAGACGAGAGGCCGGCCTGTCTGCTACGGAGACTGACGATGATGAAGTGATCATCATCGGTTGTAGAAATCCAACATCAAATAGCGTTAAAGAATGACACAACAGAGCGTCAATAGTTTGCTTTTCTCTTCTAATACTATGCATATATATATATATATATCGTTCCTCATCCTAAAGGTTCTGTGTGTAAAATCTCTGCAGTGAACGCAACTGAGCTGGAGACATCACAGTGGACACACACTCTGTTGTCTCCAGTCACCTCACGGATAGGCCAGAAGACAATGTCCACGCTAGTCTGAGCTTAAAGAAAGGCATCAGTAACTCAAATAACCACACATTACAACGGAGGTATGCAGAAGAGCATCTCTGAACGCACATGTTAAACCTTGAAGTAGATGGGCTATAGCAGTAGAACACCACACCAGGTGCCAATTCTGTCACCTAACAACAGAAAACTGAGGCTACAATTGGCTTGGGTTCTCAAAAATTGGACAACAGAAGATGGGGAAAATGTTGCCTTGTCTGATGAGTCTTGATTTCTGCTGCAACATTCAGATGGTAGGGTCAGAATTTGTCATAAACAACATGTTAGCATGGATCCATCCTACTCATTCATCATATTTGTTGGCACACTCTGTGTACCTCAGTACCTAGTGAGGATCATTGCACAGCAATCCCTTGATACAATGAGGATGGATTCATGTTTTAATGTTATTTATGCCAAATTCTGACCCCATTGCTTATCCAGGGCCTGGTCACTGGGGTAGCAGGCTCATCAGGCTAATCACGGTATTCCAGATGTTCCTCTCCCCAGCAATGTTGTCAAGCTGTTGTTGGTGAACCCCGACACATTCCAAGGCCAGAAGAGATGTATAATCTCTCTGTTTGGGCCAGTGACTCACTCCCAAACAGGACGCTATCCACCATTTACCTGTAGAGAACCATGGCCTCAGACCTGGATGAACTGACTCTCATCCCAAACTACATAGCTGCAAACCACACAGTGCGTGCTTAAAGGTCAGGGTCTGATAAAGCCAACAGAACCACATCATCTGCAAAGAGCAGGACAAATTTTACAATCCTCTGTCATCCAATTTTGGAGAACCCAAGCCAATTGTAGCCTCCGTTTCCTGTTGTTCGGTGACAGGAGTGGCACCTGGTGTGGTCTTCTGCTGCTGTAGCCCATCTACTTCAAAGTTGAATGTGTTGTGCATTCAGAGATGCTCTTCTGCATACCTTGGTTTTAATAAATGGTTATTCAGTGTGGCTTTGTGCCAAAGCACACTGACTGTAATCCTGCGGGCTTAATAATAATAATAACTAGAAAATTTCACAAGAAATTTTGACAGTGTGGCTTCTACTGCCCGAAGACGTCGCAATATATAGCTACACACGATACTACCGGTAGTATCGTTGAGGTTCGATTGACATATCGCTTTTCTCTTTTCTGCATTTTAGATTCATACTCTTGGATTGAATCTTGTATTTGTGATGGACAGTCCACAAATGGCTCCCGTCATTTCTGTACTGGACATATACATCTTTGTTTGAGAAGCCTTTGGAAATGATGGCCAGAGCTTCTTTTATCAAAGATATTTAGTTCTCAGCACTCTTTGTGAAGATTTCTTAAAGTGAAATTATGTTTATATTCTATAACAGGTTAAATGTTGTTCTTCTTGTTTTCTTAATCGTTGTACAAAAGAGGTACTATGATGTATTATATAACGAATTATTATCATCGTAATCAATAAGTAAATCAATCATTATTCTCTTTTACATAACTGAGATTCTGGTCAAACTAATAGATTATGAGGATGAAGTGAATGTGTTCATGAAATCATTGAACAAGAGTCATTTAACAGACTTTACTGATGGGATGTGAACAAACTGAAGGTTTACATGATGAATAAAGTATTTCTTGACTCAAGAATGAACAAAGTCTTTTCTTCTTGTCTTATTTACAGGGTTTCATGCAAAGCTGATGGAGAAAATGTGAAACTAATATGAGAGTATAACTCAGTCAGTTTTCCTCCTGAAACACCACAAAGTACAGAGTTCATGTTTATCACTTTTTATGACTTATTTCGACATAATCAATTGTTCGAGCATGTTATGTGTGAAAACAAAACAAAACAGTCGCACCAGCAAAGGAAGAGAGCGACTCCATGTGAAGGTGAGCTTTGATAGCAGGAACCACATGGGGCCTTTTGCTCATGAAGCTTGGGACCCGTATCCTGCAAGACAAAGAGCCAGCGAGACAGAAGATACATGTACATCTAAGGAGAGGAGGAGACATTCAGCAGCTGCTCATGATGAGCTCAGGTTATGTCTGATTGTCAACATGAGTTCCTTTATAATCAGGACATTTACCTCTACAGTATTTACCAAATCTCTAGAAACTGGAATATTACCAAATGAGCAGAAAGTAGCACCTGTGGGTAAATGTGAAGTACATTCAACAACTACCTCCCTCTTTCTGTCCCTCCATGTTTCTCAAAGATGTTGGTAAAGTTGGTTTACAATAAAATGCAGGAGTGGAACTTCCTGTATTACCAGCAGTATGGATTCTGAAAAAAAAGGTTTGACATCATTGTCTGTGCTTCAAAATTGTTGCTTTAAAAAACAAACAATGTGCTTTATGAATATTTCCTATTTGACTCTGTTAATCAAACCAATTTACAAAATGGTTCCAATTAACAAAAACATCTCTCAATGTCAAAAAATCATATTCGCTCAAAGTCTTTAGTAAATAAGTGAATTAGCCACAGGTCTCATCCACAGGTTTCCTTTGAGTCCTGATTGATGAAACTCTAAGCTTGAAGAGTCATATTCTGTCTGTTTTCAATAAAACATCTAAATCAACATAGTTGGCAAGTTTCAAAGTTTGCTTCACCAAAAGTGTTCAACAACTTTCTATGAAGCTTAATTTATCCTTACCTCAGTTCCTGCTACGTATATGTTTTGGGGAGCCACTTATCCCACTCAACTTTATAAGCTTTATGTTTCTACAAAGAAGCAAAGTGAAGTGTGAACAATAAAAATCTGTTTGACTCATTTAAGAAAACTCATGTCTGACTTTAAGAGAAATAATATTTATTTTAAGAAACAGACGATTACATGACTAAATGAGGAAACCTAAAATACTAACAACTTAACATGTGCAACAGTTAAAATGGTCTTTGCAACTGAAAACAGTGAGCAGCAACATGAGCACATCACTCTACTCTGTTGTCAGCAGGTTTAATGTGCCGCTCTTTAAAACACAAATACATTTCACTACTTGTTTAGTTTCGGTAGACTAAATGAATTATCAGTGAATTATTATGTATTCATGTAAATGTTCAACTGATTACAAGAATCATAATGACTTGTTTTAGGAAACAAAATCTTTAAGTAACATATTTCATACCTAAATATAAATCTGATGGAAACTTAAAACTTTTAAAAAGTGTTAAATGTAAAGTTTTAATCCCTGAGCCTCAACTCTTGATGCATATATCGAAGATGAACAGATTTTTGATCACGTGTATAGTTTATTGTTTAGTGTGACGTCAGATTTAGTGATCAAGAGTTTGTGTTGTGCAGAAGAATGTGAAATGTGCTCAGCATTCAGATGATATGGATCTCCATGTTTACTTCTGAACATTCACATCATCAGACAACTCAAGATGACTGTATGATTGTTGAGTTGGTCTTATAGGGGTTAAAAATATTATGCATTTATAATTAACTTTAAATTCAGCATTAATCACCTTAAATTTAAATCTATGTACATTTACAACAGCTGACAAAGTAGTATTAACAGCGTTCATGATGTGAAGAACAGACAGAAGCCAAAGAAAACCTCTACTGACTTCTTTCTGCCGTTGAGCTTCGGGCTTTCTGCAGTCGGTCCGGAAGTGACGCTGCTCTTCTTCTTCTCTTGTTTCAGGATCCTACATCTATTCTTCCGGCTGAGTTTCGTCCTAAAACTGTGTTTCTTTTTGGCCGAGGAGAGCTGAGAGGAGTCTCCATCTAAAAAGGAGTTAAGAAAGGGAGAATGTGCAAATCACTTAACTTAAATTATTACACCATAACCAGTAGTGGAAGAAGTTATTCTGATATTTGTCAGTTTGTGAAACACAACATTAACAGTTGGCCCCTCCTCCCCGGCTCAACAGCAGGTGAAAGACAAACCCTGATTCACTCTCATGTTAGAACGAGCTTTGTCCGCTTGGCGTCTCGACCCGCTGTGTGTCCGCCATTTTCATAGCTTCCTCTTGGATGCACCATTTCTATCTGACACCTGGTGGCTCAGTTTATTTAGAGGTTGACGCTCTCTCTCTGCAGAGTAAACCACTTCTAGTGGGTCAGAAGTGATCATTGAGAGACATTATTTTTATATGAGTCCATGCATTGTTTTTTAGGAAAATCCTCCTCATTCCTGTCCACCAGTTTATGGTTGCTGGAGATTCATGTTGTTCCTGAGGAGTTTTCTCAGTCGTCACTCAACCAGTGAGTGACTCAGCTTTTACAACAGGTGGAATATTTTAACATCAACAACAAATGGAAAATGTGCAGATTATATCAGGTCCAGTCATGAAGTCATGAAATGAATAAATGTGAATCTTGAAACGCTGCTTTGCATCAGGATCATATCCTGAAACTCAACTCTTTTGTGACAAGTGTTTAAAAGTGTATCATTAAATATGAGAGAAAGGTATTGTACGACAATTTAGATGTTTCATATTAGTTTAATTTGATAACTTTTTTGTCAGCCAGATGTTTTTAAGCAGTAAAAGAAAACTGAACAGCATTAGTCTTTTGATGGCTTCATGTTTGTCTATAACTCTTCCTCTGAGGAGACAAGAAATATTTAACAACTAAAGAAATGAAATGTTTTCAAACGTGGAGCAGGTTTTAACCGAGGCTCTGTTTGTAAATGAGGAAACAAAGTTCACATTCACAGCGCTGCTCCTCTTCCTGGAATGAACCACAGCTTGATAACCCCTCCTTCTTCCTCCTGCTCTCAAACACAGCCGGCTCCACTCTGTCCACATATCTCCTTGTTCCCTCCCCTTCAGATCTACAGTAGACTGGACTGCAAGCTGCTCCTGCTGATCACTGCTATGCTGGACCTGAAGATGTGTCCTGTGATGTCTGCACTGGGAGGAAACTGAAAGCCATCAAGTCCTGTCTGCAATGTCTGGCCTCTTATTGTGAGAAACACCTCCAGCTTCATTATGAATCCCCTGCCTTTGAGAAACACAAGCTGGTGGACCCCTCCAAGAAGCTCCAGGAAAACATCTGCTCTTGTCACGATGAGGTGATGAAGATTTTCTGCCGTACTGATCATCAGTGTATCTGTTATCTCTGCTTAATGGATGAACACAAAGGCCACGACACAGTCACAGCTGCAGCTGAAAGGACTGAGAGGCAGAGGGAGCTGGAGGTGAGTCGACTAAACATCCAGCAGAGAATCCAGGACAGAGAGAAAGACGTGAAGCTGCTTCAACAGGAGGTGGAGGCCGTCAATCGCTCTGCCGACGAAGCGGTGAAGGACAGTGAGAAAATCTTCACTGAGCTGATCCGCCTCATGGAGAAAAGAAGTTCCGATGTGAAGCAGCAGGTCAGATCCCAGCAGAAAAGTGAAGTGACTCGAGTCAAAGAGCTTCAGGAGAAGCTGGAGCAGGAGATCTCTGAGCTGAAGAGGAGAGACGCTGAGCTGAAGCTGCTCTCACACACAGAGGATCACAACCAGTTTCTACACAACTACCCCTCACTGTCACCACTCAGAGAATCTACAGACTCGTCTGGCATCGATATCCGTCCTCTGAGCTACTTTGAGGACGTGACGGCGGCTGTGTCAGAAGTCAGAGATAAACTACAGGACGTTCTGAGAGAGAAGTGGACAAACGTCTCACTGGCAGTGACTGAAGTGAACGTTTTACTGTCGCCTTCACACGCAGAGCCCAAGACCAGAGCTGGATTCTTAAGATATTCAAGTGGAATCACACTGGATCCAAATACAGCATGCACATATCTGTTGTTATCTGAGGGGAACAGAAAAGCAACAGCTATGAGAGAAGAACAGTCTTATTCTAGTCACCCAGACAGATTCACTTCATGTTTTCAGGTCCTGAGTAGAGAGAGTCTGACTGGACGTTGTTACTGGGAGGTGGAGTGGAGAGGAGAAGGAGTTTATGTAGCAGTCGCATACAAGAATATCAGCAGAACAGGGAGCTATAAAGAATGTGAATTTGGATTGAATGACAAATCTTGGGTGTTACAATGTGTCAATAACAGTTTTACATTTTTGTACAACAATATCCGAACTCCCGTCTCTGGTCCTCAGTCCTCCAGAGTAGGAGTGTACCTGGATCACAGAGCAGGTATTCTGTCTTTCTACAGCATCTCTGAAACCATGACTCTCCTCCACAGAGTCCAGACCACATTCACTCATCCTCTCTATGCTGGACTTGTGATTTATGACTATGCAAACACTGCTGAGTTCTGTAAACTAAAATAGACAAAAGTGATTTAAGGAACAGCAAATTAATTTTTGTGTAATCCTGAAACTCATTTTGTCTCCATCATTGTCGCTTAATTGCTGATGTTTCTTCAGCTTTCAATCAAACATTGTGGGCGGTACTTTGACATCTTCTCATTATTGTTGTGTAAATGTTTGAGTTTCTTTAGGTGGAGCTCCTTTCTGTGTCTGTTTAGCCATGGAGGCTATCACTGCTCATGATGATCTTTGTTGACGTGAACTGATATTTCTCTTCATGAAAATGTAAACTGCTCTGAGGTTTAAATGTTTGATAAATATTAGTATTGATGTATTTGTTAGTTGTTGTTTCTCTTCCACTGCATGGCTCTTAAAGAGAGAAATCACCAGAGCTTAGATTTAGTTCTCAGCACTCTTTGTAAAGATTTCTTTAAGTGAAAATATGTTTATTTTCTATAACAGATTAAATGTTCTTGTTGTTTTCTTAATCGTTATACAAAAGAGGTACTATGATGTATTATATAACACTAGAAAATTTTGCAAGAAATTTTGACAGTGTGGCTTCTACTGCCCGAAGACGTCGCAATATATAGCTACACACGCCGATGTTACCGGTAGTATCGTTGAGGTTCGTTGAGATATCGCTTTTCTCTTTTCTGCATTTTAGATTCATACTCTTGGATTTGTGATGGACAGTCCACAAATGGCTCCCGTCATTTCTGTACTGGACATGTACATCTTTGTTTGAGAAGCCTTTGGAAATTATGGGAGCTAATGCTCCCATAATTTCTGTATTTGAGATATAAACCTTTCTTTGAGAAGCCTTTGTTAAATTATGAATATGTCTCCTCTCCCCCTCTCTCACCCACCCAGTCCCACCCTTTCAAAATAAAAGCCCCATAGAGTAACTGTATCTTAACATGAAGCTCAGAATGAGGTTCTTACAGAAATGATGGGAGCTAACGCTCCCATCATTTCCAAAGGCTTCTCAAGCAAATGTTTATATCTCAAATACAGAAATGATGGGAGCGTTAGCTCCCAAAATTTTTGGTTGATTAGACAATTTAAAAAATATATATATATATATATATTTTTTTTTTTTCTCTAAACATGAATCTGTCCATTATTTTAATAGTTCATTATTGTATGCAGGATAACAGGTATGTGTATGCATGGTAGTGGCCAGTGGTGTATAGTAACGAAGTAGAAATACTTCGTTAGTGTACTTAAGTCGTTTTTTTGGATATCTATACTTTACTTTACTATTTATATTTCTGTTTACTTTTACTTTTACTTCACTACATTTTTCAAAGAAAACTGATACTTGTACTCCGATACATTTCCCCTGAAACCTTCGTTACTCGCTACAAAATCAAATCTATCTTTAGAAAAAAAATGAATCATGAGACCAACGTCGGGGACTGTGGTGGAACAGAGACTGCAAGCAAACAGGTTTGGCGAATCAGTGGTCCTAGCTTGCAAGTTAAATCATTGGTTAATCACGTTAATTCGCAATTGCAAACAAGTGCTCTCAAAGCCGCGGTGTTTTGATTCCCAGTGATGCCCAGGATGCTATATGCTATAGCTAGCGAGCGACTACATGAGCAGAATTCCACTCTACGATGACTGATTTCATGATGGAAGCAGAAATGGAAGCACCTGCTACTCCCGAAACAAACTACGGTGGTGACGAAGACCAACACCCATGGATCGCTAGCGAGTTAGTGAGCTGAGGAAGTGTTGACAGTTGTGCAGCACTAGTTGGCTAACGTTAGCTAGCTACCACACCATAGGATTGACAGGAGCCGCGAGAGTGCAGCATCAGGGTTAGCATTAGGGTTAGCATTATGGTTAGCATTAGGGAAATCCTTCCCAGCTGTGCGCAAGCTGTCTGTGAAGCTGAACACACCTCTACCTGCCTCAGCGGCCTGTGAAAGGCTATTTAGCATCGCAGGACTAGTCTTCAGCCCAAGAAGAGCGAGGCTGAATTCTCGCAATTTTGAAAACCAACTTCTTTTGAAGATGAACAGGACATTTTTCAGTTTCAAGTAATGACTGGGTTGTTACTTTCGGTGCTGCTTTAGTATTGATCATGTTTTGATATTCGAGTTATTTTGTGGATGATCAGATGGAGTTATGATGGTAGCAGTCGCCCAATTGCAGATTCAGCTTGAGCAAAACCTTTGCCTATTCTGTTCAAATCAGGCCCATAGGAGTTTACAAGGCAGGTGTCCTTTCTCAAAACACTGACCTGATGCATCAAGTGGATATTTTTTGCTGAACACAATATTATGCATTTACCCTCTACATCCTCTAGTCGGAATGAGCATACTTATAAACGCACTGTTACAACTCCTTCATAGTGTCATATTGCTTTTCGGAGAATTATGATGATAAGTTCATAGTAGATGCAAAAGTATATTTATGTACAATATATTATGTTGAACATTGTTGCTCCTTCAATACTTAAGTACATTTAATATCAGAAAATTACTTTTGATACTTAAGTACAATAAATATCAGATACTTTAAGACTTTTACTCAAGTAGTATTCTAATAGGTGACTATTTACTTTTACTGGAGTAGTTTTCCAGTAAGGTATCTTTACTTTTACTCAAGTATGGCTTTATACACCACTTTATACACCACTGGCAGTGGCACTAATAGGCCATCACTAATTTTCGTTTCCACACTTATGTTTAAAATGAAAACGTCAATTTGAATAGCTTGTATGCATGATTATCATGCAATTAACAGACAATGTTGATATTGGCATTGGTATCAGCTGACAAGGTGTGTTTATAAATGGCAGTGTCACGGCCAACCTACTCCCTGTACCTTGCACATATTTAAAATAAAAACATGAATATATGAACCTGTGTATTATTTGAATAGCTTAGTATTGAATGCACAATAAAGAGGTACGTTTATACATGGTACTAGGCCCATTTAATATAAAACACAATTTTATACAATATATATAGTCGGGGGTCCCTGCTCCATCTCTCTATCAGTTTGGGGGTCCTTAGCCTGAAAAACGTTGAAGACCCCTGATTTAGACCCTTTATTATTTCAATATTTGCTGGAAATGCAATAACAAGTCATTCAGTGACATTCTTACAGCCTTATTACTGAAATCTTTAAACACCATCTGTCCACACGGTGTTTCAGCATCATTTTCGAAATGATCTCCGTCCAGCAAGCCTGAACACGAATATCACGTGACTATTAACGTACACTGGGCATGCGGGTGGGTGCCGGTGTAAACAGGAAGTAGATTGGTTGCTTAGTTTAAAAAAATACGACAGAGTAATAAAGTAGTCTTTAATAATGAAAGGTTGTGTTTGATAATTAAAATCTTCCTCTAAAATCTTCCTATAAACTCGAACAGACACATTTTGTGAGAAGTTTTAGAAATTTTATTTTAGACTTTATTTTCAGACTTAGTTACAGCGCTGCGGGTCTTGCTCTATCTCTCTCACACATCAAATTTATTTTAAATTCAACACTTACACATAAAGGTTTACCAGATTATGGGTCCATAAATGTGGTCAACACACGTCTCTCACTCGTTTCCTCGGTTTCGTTGTCTGTTCTCAGTCGTAGCTCTGTGGTGGCTGAAGTCTCTGTCCTACTGGTGAGCAATTCATGTTTTGTTCCTTTATAGTTTATGTGTGTGAACTTCACAATAGTTGTGCAGAACAAAATAAACATTAATAAGAAAAGGAAAGTCCTCCGTTTTGTGTCCCCAAAGCCGCTAACCGTGACTTCAGACGTCCGCTCAGTAGGGCTGATAATGCCGCTGGACACGCCGCCCACTAATCGCTCCAATAACAGCTGCTTCCTCCGCAGAAATGAGTTTAACTTTAACGGGACAACAGCTGCTGCTAAAGACAACAAGGTCAGCAACACCTGTAATCAGTTGTCCATGTTGAATTAACCTGGTAGTCGATCGATAATCAAGGCTGTTGTTTGTGATTTTCCGGGAAAGGGTCACGTGATATGGGCGTGACGAATCAGGGAAGGACACGTCGTGACTGCTAAGAACCAATCAAGTAGCGAACGCAGGTGTCTACGTCATTGTTTCTAAATGTATGCGTTTACGAGCGTCCAAATGAAGAGGTAACCCCGGAGTTTTCAAACTTATGCGTCCTCGAGAGCGTTTTCAAACGTATCCGTTTTGTGTGCTCTGAAACTCCGACGTAGTGTGGATGCTCAGTGTAAACGCAACAAAACATATGTTGCCATGGTGAATCGTTGAACTACAGCTCCATTGATGGCTTTTTTTATTCACCATAGAAACCCAGAAACCCTTTTTATTGTCATATACATATACACATACACGAAATTTGACTTCTGCATTTGACCCATCCCTGTATATAGGAAGCAGTGGGCTGCCAATGATAGGCACCCGGGGAGCCGGGGGTTCAGTGTCTTGCTCAGGGACACTACGACACGTGACACGTCCCAGTCGAGGATCACGAGCTTAACTCAAAGATAACAAACTGATCAGCTGTTCTGGAACCGAAACGTTTATTCAGAGTTCAGCGTTAGTTAACCTACACATTACCAACTGAAATTTAAATATACCAGTTGACTGATATAGGTTCTATATTCAGCAAAGACATTTTGAATTCTTCAGTATTTGCAGTGTTTAAACTATAACACTAACCGCTTCAATCCACAGACAAAAGCACATAAAAATTATCAACTCTTTATAGGTCTCGCTGGTAACATTGTGATGAGTTATATTGACAAGATCCTTTGAGATCGGTAAAAATATTTGTAGATACAATTCAGCAGTGCCTTGTCAGCCTTAAATATGAAAAATAGGCAGACACACAATGAGAATCATACAGAATAGGAAAAGCAGTGGAAGCAAAGGGAAAGCCTATAGCCAAATAAGTCATACAGTATAATCCTAAACATTTCATCAATAGATATTTAAATAATTAAACCAAAAATACAATTAAAAAATTATGCAAAAATTTTGCAAAAAGTCATAGTTCAAGAAGTGATTT